GGCAACCTGGTGTAGTGGAGGATTTCCCTGCCCATGGCAGGGGGGGTGGAACTAGATGATCTTTAAGGTCCCTTCCAACCCTAACCATTCTATGATTCTGAGTGCCATATGGCCCAAAAGGCATAGGCTGGCCACCCCTGCAAGAAATGCTTCAGATGGGCCTTACCAACAACTGTCTAGCTCCTGAGCATCTGCAAATGTTTGAAAACTGCTTTTTTGTTGCCTGCATTAAGCCTGCTGTATGCCTTTCTGCTTTGCTGTCACTGTTCTGCTTCCTGGGCTTGATTGCATGTCCTGAATCAGCCAATTTTCTGCAAACTTACATCTGAAATGGTTGGGAAATAAACACATCCTTACTGTTCTGTGTTTGTTTGAAACAAGGGATAAATCTGTTCTCCCTTGGCTTTCCTGTCTAGATTGGGGGAACAGTTGAGTTTCCCATGGGCTGGAGGAAGAGCAGGAGAACAGCATAACCATGTTAAAGTAAATATCTTTTACGGTTTAAATAATTTGTGCTTTTTTGATCTATTTATGGTCTACTCATGAGACTACAAGTCTGTTGGCCTTTTCTGTATTTTTCTGGAGGCTTTTATGATAGCAGTTTTGACTGATGTATTGAAGTGCTTGTTGTTTACTGGGAACTGATATCCTCAAGGGAGCCTCAGAAGACCAGCTGTTGCTGTTAAGCCAGGTGTTTGTGAGATCCAGGTCTAAACCTAAGGAGAGTTAAAGTCACAATATGAAAAGCATCTCCAAGGGAAACACAGTCATTTGGCTAGACCAAATGCTGGGGTTTTGTAGGTGTAATTTGAAGAAAGCTTTTTATTTTTTATGGGACATAGAGAGAAAGCTGGAGATGCTGACTGTGGCTTGCAACTTTAGGTACTCGAAGCATGTGTTGAAGTAAGATGAGATGTCATTGGTGTGAAAGATGTTTCTTTAAGAAGTGGGTCAATAATTTGTCATGGTGTACTGTACTTTATCTTAAGGCTATCATCTCCACAACTGTGATGTGCCTTTCTGTTCATTTTCAAATTTAAACACATAGAAGACCCTCATGACTTTCAGAAGCAAGTATCAACTCTTGCTTCAGTCTCTTCTCCTCTCACCAGACCAGCTCCTGGCAGCAAATTGCTGGTTTAGCCATAATCTGGCAGCCTTCGCTTAAAGTTTGCAGCACGGGTGGTCACAGTCATGGAGTGAAGCTCTGTGAACTCATTGTCTGAGACTGAAGCCTTGAAGCTGTGCAGTGTTTAAGAAGAACAGAGTCAAATAAATGATATGGTCCTTGGCTGAATGAGCTTAGTATCATTTGTAAGCACTCAACATATAAACACTGAGTAATGTGTTGTAATGATAAAGTTACTTCAGTGGGATCTTGGTTTCAAATTTACCTGTCCTTATAGGCTGATGGTTTGTACAAGACAGTCTGTGAGTAAACTGGTGAGAGAATGTAAATATTGCCCTTTCAATTTGTTCTCCCAGGTTGGAAACAATATTCTGAGTTACCTGCCTTGGGACTTACTGTGGTTTGCTCTGGGCACAATGCTAGCAAAATTTGCAAATCACTGACAGGTTTCAGTCTGTGAAAGTAAAACCAGAAATGAGCGTTTACAAAGTAGGGACTCCGTACAGGAGAGCAGGACTGGGGAACACCATTGGTAGGAATTGGTACTGATGTTCAACACGCTGTGAAGTTGTATGGTGGTTTATGTTTTCAAAGCGTTAAGTAAACATCAATTAATTAATCTTTACAATCCTGCTGAGACACACATGAATATTATTATTGCACTTTTTTTCAGCCATATAATTGACCTGCAGGAACATTAAATGGACTTTCCAAAGCCATACAGCAACATACCAGAACTGAAGCTTGGACATTCTTGATGCCAAGCTCCCGTGTACTAGATGAGGAAGTCCAGATACAATGAATAGCAGAAAAGGACTTTGTCATCTTTTGTGTTTCTGACTCACATTCAGGTATACGCAGGAACACCTGGCATATGCAGGGACTCTTCAGTGGAAATTATGTTCACATATTTCAGAGTAGCATTTGGACCATTTAGGTTTTGCAAGCGTAATTTATTTTTGCACAGCTATCATTGTTTTCAACATCTATGTTCTTATTCCTTGGGACTGGTTTTTACACGCTTATCCTCTTGCTCCCTGAACGTTTTTTCCACTCAATTCTACCCTTTTTGCCTTCAAACTGCAAGGCAGGAACAAACCTGAGCTGGCGGAGGAGAGCGTGCAGCTCTGCACATCTGCACTTGCCTCTATACGTGCGGCATAGGCTACTGCTAATTGGAATATGAACAGGCTGAAGTTTATTTCAGAATAAATCACTATATTGGACAGAATCTGCTGAGTTTGTGAGATGTGACCAGCCATGCTTTTGACTGGCTTCAGCAGAGTTATGACAGTGCCATTAGCAGTGCAGTCGGTACAAAACCCGAAATGCTGGTAACAGCAAGGGAGGAGAAGGCACAGCCAGCACTGGTGGGGTGGTGTGATTGCAACTGCCTGAAGAAACTTTGTTTGCAGCTTTTGACCAAGGAATATGAGGTATGGCCACAAGGTTATTCTACATACATCACTGAGAGAAGGGGGAGGAAAGAAAGAATAAAAGAATTTGGCTTTTATGGGATGTTTTATATCAAAATTGCTTTTCTTAAAATTTCTCTCAGAATTGCTTGTGTGTGTGCTGATCTGTGGCTTGCTCAGCCATAGAAAAACTCCTTAGGGAAAAACTTTAACATCACAAAAAATTGCAATTGTTGTTGACACTCTTCTTGATAATGCCAAGTGGCCAGAAGGCAGAGTAAGTAACCCTCCCAATCTCTGTGAGGTCCCACCAGGGAGTTTTGGTATAGTGGTAGTCTGGGAGAAGCTCTACAGGGTTCCTGCCTGTACTTTGCTTTTAGCTGAAGCTTAGGTATTCTGTCTCTCTCACTCTTTTTTGTCTGTAAATATTGAGAATAAAATGCACAGCGGATAGGGAACAGAGTAAGGGAAGAATGGTCAATGCCAGCTGAGCTTTACAGGTAGCATGACAGCCTGCATAATTTCCTGATTATACTTCACTTTGGAATCTCTTGTGGTTGAGATATCTAGCCTGGCAGTCCTGAGAGGATAGATCGAGGAAAGGCTTCCCAGTAGCCACCAAACATAGTTCTTTTCCAGTATAACTACTGATTTGGGACTTGGCAATTGTACCTTCTCATAGAAAATACTTAGGAGGCCTTTCCTATGTCAGAGTTGATTGGATTTGTGATTTTTTTATATGGTCTTTGGAAGAGTATTTTATATTGAGATCTATGTAGTATTTATAACATTAATACATGTATTCAGTATTGTTATGCTTGATCAGCTGTCATGATTAACCGCCACTGAGTTACCTTGCTTTTGTACCATGGGGTTTCTGGTCCCACTTCTTCCAAACATCTCTTTCCTACTTGTTCCTGCAGCGAGGACCATAGAATGAGCAATCCAGTAAATTACTCTCTAACCTGTGCTCCTGAGGAGGGATTGTATAAGTATGTGGAGACAAAGCCGTGGGTTCCTGTGTGACAAAACGTTTTGTTAGGTAGAAGTGACTTTTGTCTCATTTTTCCCCTTGGATTTACCATGATTTCTTTTAGAACTGATTTTCTTCTTTACTTTACTAGATGAATTTGCTGTAGTACTTTCAAAACATTTTTTTCTTCAAAACCCTTGTTCCTTTCGATACATTCTATATCTTTTGCTGCTTACATTTTACCTCTCAAGTGATACAGTTTAATTCATAAGGTCATAACATCAACCCATTTGGTTTTGGGTGGGTTGATTTCCTCTGAGAGGACAGAATAAGTTCAGGTTATAGATGTTCATCCCTCTTTTCTGCTTGAGTCCAGGCTCTTTTACCTGATTGCGTTTGAGAGATCCATAGAAATAAAAATTTTCCTTTGCCTCTCCAGTAAAACAGAAGTGAATACATTTATAAAAGGCAAGGTTGATAGTGCAGTGAAAAGCTCGGCATTGCCACTAGGTCTTACAAATATTTCTGTATGTACCTTACTTTATTGTGGGAGTAGGCTGGTGAGCTGGCTGCACTGGGACGGGTGACAGACACTGCACTGTAGCTCTCGCCAGGCCGATGGTGCGGTCATCGTGGTGCCAAGTCTGCTCTGTCGCCACCTTTCTCGGGGACTGTTGGTGCAAGATGCTGATGACTCATTCAGGAAAACAAGGAACGTCGCATATCCGAGCGTGTTCCTTGCGCAAACGTGGTCCTGAGGTGAAAGTGGAAAACAAACAGAAAATAAACAAGGCCTTTCCTCTCTCTGCCGTTCCATGCCTGTTCCCAGATACAACCTGATGATGTGACCTGTTGTATTTTACTGTGAGGTTGTAATTCTGCATCTTAATTTCTTGAGACCTTTAGGTCTCACTTCTCTTGTACCCTGCAAGTGACTTCAGCGGAGACGTGTCTGTCTCCCGGGTTTCTCCGAGGGTGGGGAGAGGATGTGCCTGCTCCTCCCCGCCTGGAGACTGTGCTAGTGTCGTTATCTGCAGAATGAGTTACATCTTGAGATCACCAGCGGCGCTTTCGAAACAGGTGCGGGTGCCATCTGAACTGCCAGCAGCCTTGCCTCCCCCTTGCAGCGTCCGGTAAGCTGGCGTCGGGTCGGGACGCCTGAGCCTGGGAAAGGCGCTGGGCCGTCCCCAGGGGGGGCCAGTGACGTCGGTGAGGAGCTGCCGAGCCCGCGGTGGTGCCGCCCGTCCCGGGCCGCGGGGAGCGGGGCGAGCGGGGACGCGCTGCCCGCCCTGCTGCCTGCTATTCCCTGGGCAACACCACCACCTCCCGGCCGCGCCGGGCGGCTGCCTGCCTGCCCGCCGAGCCCCTGCCGCATCCCCTCCCGCTTCCCGCTGACGGGAAGCCCCAGCGTTGTTTCTCGCCAGTCAGGGCCGGTGCTCGGTGAGCTCAACCTCCCAGCTGCTCCCCAGAGGTTTGGGGCAAGGAGGAGGGAGAATGGGCAGAAGGTGAACCGAGGGAAGGAGCAAGATGTGTTTTAAATGAGAAGTGTATTGGAAGAATGTTTGTAATGCCAGGAAAGGTTTGTTTTCCTTGTAATAAGCGTTGATTTGCCATAAAATCCCTGTGGTATGGTCCCTATTCTGTGGTCGGTGCCTGGGAATTTCTGAAATAGGTTTGCAGCGGGTGTGCTCACAGCCGCAAAACAGCGGCTGGGTCC